GGTGAGGTCGGGGTGGGCGGGGGCGGGGGGCCGGGGATCGCTGCTCTGCTGAGCTTCCAGGGAGCTGAGAGGCTGGGGACTGCTGTCTTGGACTGTAGGCTGAAACCCCACCAAAGCCTTCCTGAGCCTGGCGGGGGGCGGATGGGGACAGAGCTCCAAGGTCCTCTCTCCATCGGAGCCACAGGCTCCGGAAGGCGGGGAGGGGCTGTGACCGTGGCTCCCATCTGGGCCTCGGGGGGGGGCCCCATTAACGTTCCCCTCGAGGCCCGGAAAGACTCCTGTGCCCGGAGGTGGGGGTGGGGGCTTCCAAGAGAACTAGTGTGAGCTGGGGCCAGCTCAGGGGAGCCCATCTGTAGAGTGGGGTGCGTAGGCTTCAGGTGGAGTCCTGGAGCTTGGACAGGGCGTCTCGGGGACCCCCTGGAGTCCAGGAAGTGCCGAAGAGGGACCTGGGCCTCGAGGTGTGGTCGAGGTGTGGTCGGCTCTGGTTTCTCTCGGTGAGGTCAGTTTGGTGGTCTAGGTGGGGGAGTCTCGGTTCCGTGTATGTGTGGGAGAGAGAATGGGAGGGCCAGCCGTGTAAAATATGGACTCCCGAGCGAACATACCCGGCGCTGGAGCCCCAGGAGCTGAGAGAGGTAAGGGGGCCTATAGGGCAGGGGATGGGAGGGCCCAGGTTGTTTATGAACTGGCTGCTCCGTGAGAAGGACCCGAGGGGGTAGAGCAGGATGTATGGAAAGGACAGTTGAGGACAGGGAGGGGCCACGGGAGGCCATTTCTGGCACCCCCTGGCCCAGCACAGGAAAGAGACAGCCTCCCCACTCCAGCCTCCTTCCTGGTGGTCCCCTCTCTTTGAAGAGGTCTCTCTCTAGAGAGAGGGTGGGGCAGCCCTCGGGTGCCATTACCGATCTGCCCACGGCCCTGGGTTGGCACAATCTGTGGCTTGGGAGAAATGCCTGTGGCCTCTCTTAGCCCGCTGATAGAATCCTGCTCCCGATGGAATCCTTTTCCACGGAAGGGCTGGCGGGATGCTGAGCCCACAACAGCAGATGGGAGAGACTGGAACCCCAGGGAAAGGACGCCTGCAAAGGGGTTGAGGGGGGTGCGGAGCAAATTTCAGGATGGGCTATCAGCTGACGTAGGCATGTGCAGTGATCAAAAGCCTATCAAAACCACCTACCCCCAGTGCTCTAGGGCTAGGGGGGAGGGAAGGATAAGTACTCAGCCTGAATGCCCCCACCCCAGAAAGACATTCTCAGAGGATTCTCTTCATCAGGCAAAAAGCCCTAGCCTTTGTGAGTCTGGGGGGTGGGCGGGGCAGAGTGGGGGGTGTCACTTTGAGATGGGAGTCTCCATTGGGAACAATGATTCAGGCACACCCTGCCCTGGTGCCCTATAGCTGGTTGATCTCGCCTATTGTGTGAAAGCCAGGCCAGGGGTCAGGGGAAGCTGACGGTTAGAGGTCAGTAATGAGGCCGAGGGTTAAAGATCAGTCCATGGGTGATGCGGGGTCAGTCCATGGGCAGGATCACGGCTCTGTCCGTCTGTGGAAAGGAGAAGGATCCAGCTGAGGGCAGCGTTTGTCCTGTGCTGGTAGCCAGGAAACTGAGATGCTGTCCTAACTGTTCTCTCAACCCCATACCCATCTCTAGTCCTGAATTAAGGGGGCCCTTGGGGTGGGGATCTGCCCCCCACCCTATTTCCAACCTTGGACTCAGCTCAGACCTAGCTTTGGGGAGCTGATGTTTTGATCACAGGGGAGCTGATGTTCTGATCACAGCGGTCAGTTTTCTCCTGGAATGTCTATAGGGGTGTGTATTGGTGGGGGGCATCCCGAGAACATGCAGGGCATGTGTGTATGTGTGTGTCTGCTATCCCCTTCCACCTCCACCTCTCAAGGAATCAGCAAGATCCTCTTCCTTTAACCCTGATGGATACGGGTCTTCTCTCCCTCCCAAGAGAATCAACAGTAAGACCAGAAACTTCCATCAAGAGACTCTTCAAGGTGCACACCGTGAAAGGGAAGAACACTGCTCATATCCAACCAAATCTTTGTCTTTACCAGCCATGTTCCATACCTGGGCTGGCCAGACCTCATAAGCCTCCTGCTTGACCCATTTTAAAAGAAAGGGCCCCAAGGCATACAGAGATGGTGGGATGCATTTAAGCCAGTTGCCAAAACAGGCCAATGTAGAGACTCATTGTATCACCCACCCAATATGACACACAGTTTGAACATGAAGTCCAGCTCAGAATGACAACCGTAAAGTCTTTTTCGCCTCATAATTCTAAACTATTTCTCCTTTAGATACAATAGCCTGGGTCCGGAAAACCTATTCATTCATTAATTCAGTAAAAGCTTTTCCCAGCACTTAGCACAGAGGTTGGCACAAATAAATGTTTTGGTGTTTGCTGAATAATTGTAACAACCTACATATAGAGATGCCAGCTCCTCTCTCATGGCTGCAATACAAGGATACACTGGTAAATGTGTTGTGATCAACACCTCCAAATGGAAACAGCCTGATTTGTAGTGTTTGCCAATTCTCATAGTGTAAATACTTTCGGCAGTCTGGAAATCAAACGACGCATTGCATTGGGCAAATTTGCTGCACAAGACCTCTTTAAAGTCCAGACGAGCCAGGGTGTCCCTTAAAGGACTACGGTATTCCTAACCCAAGTTATGGAATTTTCAGTGGTGCCATATACCTGGCAAAGTTGGGCTCTGAATCAGGAAGACTGAAGAAGGATCAATGCATTTGAATCGTCACGCTGGTGAAAAATATGAAAAGTACCTTGGATTGCCAAAGTCCAGATAAATCTGTCTTGGAAGAAATACAGCCAGACTACTCCTTGGAAGCGAAGATGGCAAGACTTGGTCTCATATAATTTGGACATGTTATCAGAAAAGACTAGCCTCTAGAAAAGGAGAGTTTGGTAATGTAGGGAGTCAGGGATAAAGCAGAAGACCTTCCGTGAGCTGGACTGACGCAGTGACTGCAGTTACGGGCTCAAACCTAACAACTGTGAGGATGGTGCAGGACGGGGCAGTGTGTGCTCCTGTTGGGCATAGGGTCACTGTGGTCGGAACTCACCCGGCGGCACCTAACGACAGATATTTCTACCATCACCAGTGCCATGTCAAGCTAACAATATGATGTCGCTGACAGAGAAGAATGACTTGGGAAGAGGTACACAGAACCGTCTCTCGGGAACTTTTGATTGCCTATCCCTGGTTCCTAAAGTCCCTCCCCACCCCTCAATTTATTTTCCCTTCTCTCAGCATCACCCAACTGAGTTCCCACAATGAGCCTCTGTCGTGCCCAGGATTCTGACTTCCGGACATCCACCTGCGCATCTCCAGTGACAACAGGACTGCGTGTGTCCAAAGAGTCTATGGGTCTGATCATGCAGAATCACAACTGTAAAGGAATCTAGATGTCAGTTCACCATGGGAGTGGGTTTGTGTGGACTGTGTAGGACCAAGGGTGTTTGCATGTGGAGTTTGTGGCCCGGCCCGGACTAATGCTCAGCTCCGTGACTAGGTTCCATTTGCGAAATTCCCTGATCAGGCTACTGGCCGCAGAAAGTGAGTGGGCAGCCCACACCTCTGCTTAGGGGACAGAGCCACTTAGCCCACAGATAAGTTCAATAATAGCCTCTGGGATCTTAAGCCTGGGCCCAAGGTACCCAGCTGAGTAGCACTTGAGACATTTCAGGGTATGAGGATACACCTTAATCCCCGAGCTCTTGTTGATATGTACATTCTGCTCTTGGTCAGGCATTTCTGACAAGCTCCCCGGCGATACCAAGGCAGCTGATCCTGAGTTTGCACTTTGACACTAAAGCTAGGGGGTGGTGATGATTGCTGGTTCTCTGGACTTTACAGACACAAGTTCAAGCTCTGCCCATACTGGGAAACCCTAGAACTTTTATTATTGAACTTAGCTGTGGGCTAAGTGGCTCTGTTCCCCAAGCAGAGGTGTGGGCTGCCCACTCACTTTCTGCGGCCAGTAGCCGGATCATGGAATATTACAAACCCTTCCTCGATTCCTTCAAGCTCCATCTCCCTCCATCTGCGGCCCTCACTTTTGCTCGTGATCTCAGCCAAGTTTCTCAAAAGGCCCACTTCCTTCCCTCACCTCTTGCTCCCTCCTCACCCACTAGCCACCTCCTGCCCCCATCTCACAACGATGCCTGTTGTGGGCCAGGGGGACAACAGGTGTGCTCATTCTTATCCAACTTGACCTGTCAAAGACATCTGGCTTCACACCACGCTCTTTCTTATCTTGACCTTCCTGAAGCCACAGGAAGCATCTTAATCTCTTTGGCCCATCCATCTTCCTCGATCCAGCCCTTAAGCAGAGCTTCTGTTCCCCTCCCATCCCCCACTCCTCTCTCTGCAGCCTCCCAAGACAATGACCTCAACTCAGATTTCTCCTTGACCTCCATCCAGGTCAGATGGCCTCTGGCTACTTGGTGTGTTCCCTTAGCCACACCCCAAACTCTGCCCCTTCCCCTATCAGCCTGCCTTTTCTCCAGTCTTCTCCATGTGCCATCCACCTTGCAGCTTGAGCTAGATGGTGTCGCCTCTGACACCTTCTTCTTCTTAATCCCCCACACCAAATCCAGATGTCTTCCACCAGTCCTGTGGCTTTTACCTTCTGACTCACTCTCAAATGTCTCTCAGGCAGTTTAATGGCAGAATTCTTACCTTCTATCAGGCGCCCTGGGTTATGTGTTGGGCTGCCAACCACAAGGTCAGCAGTTTGAAGCTGCTCTGCAGGAGAAAGATGAGGCTTTCTGCTCCCATAAAGATTTACAACCTCAGCTACCTGAAGGAGCGGTGCTCTACTGTTCTGGAGGGTCATTATATGTATTCACTCAATGCAATGAGTTTGGAGATATATATATATATGACTGGCGTTTGATTTCCATATATATATATATATATATATATATATGACTGGCGTTTGATTTCCTCCCAATGCACCTCAGGTTCAGCTACTAACGATCCATCAGCAGAGGCCTAAGTTGCTAGTTTGGATATATATATATATGACTGGCGTTTGATTTCCTCCCAATGCACCTCAGGTTCAGCTACTAACGATCCATCAGCAGAGGCCTAAGTTGCTAGTTTGGATATATATATATATGACTGGCGTTTGATTTCCTCCCAATGCACCTCAGGTTCAGCTACTAACGATCCATCAGCAGAGGCCTAAGTTGCTAGTTTGGATATATATATATATGACTGGCGTTTGATTTCCTCCCAATGCACCTCAGGTTCAGCTACTAACCATCCATCAGCAGAGGCCTAAGTTGCTATGATACTGAACAGGTTTCAGTGAAACTTCCAGAATAAGATGAACTAGGAAGAAAGGCCTGGTGATGTATTTCCAAAACTCAGTCCAGAACTGGAGACAGTTTCATTCACTACGCAGAGATGACTGCTATGACCTGACTGGGCCCTCTGTTTTTATATTGCTCCCCCGCTACCTGCCTGTAGCCCTCTTCTTATGCAGATGTAGTCACAGGGCCATCACCACTCTGTCACTTAACCCCTTTCAGTATTTACTGTGACCTTTCCTATAAAACCCAGTCTAAACTAGGGTTTCAAGAGCCGGCCCACAGGGGTGCTCCAGACAGGCTTTGCCTGTCTTGCATCCCACTGTGCCCTCCCCTTCCCCAACCTCAATTTGCTTGTAGTCTTAACTGGTTCTCAGGGCATCTGGCTAGGACTGGCCTCCCCCACCAGGCTATGTCTCTCTGAGTGTCCGAGTGGGAGGAGGAGGGCGGAGGGGGGAGCATTGGATGACATGAAGGAGTCACTGTTAATTTTGTTAGACATGATAGTGCTGTTGTGGTTATGGCTTTTTCGGGCTGTTTCTGTTGGAGGGCTTTCTGAAGAATTTATAGGTGAGCCTGCATGGTGCCTGGGATTTGCTTCTAAGAATTCTAGCCCAAAGTAAATATTGAAAGTAAATAAACACTCGGTGAGGGAACAAAGGAACAAATCGATCCCGTCTGTTTGTGGGTTCCTATTCACAGCCGCAGAGGCCGCCAGGATGCTGGCTGTCCCGGAGACAGGCTTGCAGGGACTGTACATTGGTAAGAACCCTGGCCACTCTGCCCTCCCCACCACCCTCCCTCAGCCTGTCCCCATCGGCCTCTCCCGACTCCGGAGGCTCATGCTGTAAGTGTGCGTGTGCAGAGGGAAATCTGTGTGCACAGGTCTGTGTGTGCTCACATGAGGGCATCTGTGCTACCCTCTGTGTGTGTGTGTGCCAAACTTGTGTTTGTGAGTGTGCACAGGGCGGATCTGCATTACCCCCGTGTGTATGAGAGTGTGTGTGTGCACAGGGAGAATCTTTGTTACTCCTGCATGGGTATGGGTGTGTGTGTGTGTGTGCGCGCGCGCGCGCGCGCGCGTAGGCAGGTGGGTCGGTATTACCCCCTGTGTGTATATGAATGTGTGTGTCTGCATCTGTGTGCACAGACTGTGTATGAGTATGGTGGTGTTTTGTCAGGGGCTGTGTACAGAGGACGTGTGCGTGCATTTCTGTCTATCTGCCTGCAGGTCAGCTGTGTACAGGGTCTAGGGTGAGAGCGGGTATATCTGCAAGTGTATGAGTGTGGGTATGGGTATGCCTGCAGTCTGTGTACACAGACTAGAGTGTCTGTGTATAGATGCACAGGGTAGGTTTGTTTGTATTCACAGCACTCTCATGCGTATGTGTAAATATGCATGTGTATACAGGGTCAATGTACACAGGTATGTGTATGTGTGCAAGTGTATGCACACACTCAAGGCAGATCTGTGTTCATAAAACTCCTTGTATATGTGTGTTTGCAGATAGAGTAAGTGTTCACAGAACTGTGTGGATGGGTGTGTTTGGGTAGGGTCTGTGTGTGTATGTGCACGTGAGCGTGCCTGTCTGCCTGCAGGTAAGGTAGGTCTCTGTGTACAGGGCCTTGTGTGACAGTGTGCGTATCTGCAGGTGGGTCTGCGTGCTCAGAATTCAAGGGCCAGTGTGCCTGCCTGTGCCTGGCCTGGGAGCAGACGCTGGGTTCTCTGCAGGAGTGGGAGGGACCTCCTCAGGAAGTCCACTCACAAAGACCTGGTGGGCTGGGCCCTTCCTTCCTGCCTCCCTTCCCAGGCTCAAACCCCCGGCAGTTCAGCCTCTCAAGCTGGAGCTGGTGGCAGGGCCAGAGCCTGCGCTATCTGAGAAAAGGGTGCACTCAGAATGTAGCCTCCATGCCCCTGTCTCTTTGGCACCTCCGACAGACTTCCGCCCTGTCCATTCATTTCCCGCATCACCCTTGTGTCCAGCCCAACATATGTGAGATATGTTCCCAGGGCACCCCTCAGGCCAGTGAGGGCAGGGCTGTGGACAAACTGCTGGCTTTGTTCACAGACCTTCATGCCTGCCCTCACTCCACCGCCCAGGCCCCTTCACACATCCACCACCACCCTGGAACCCCTCACACAGCCCCTAGCCACCAGCCCACAGCCAGGGAGACGCCCAGCCAGTCTCCTGCCCTTAGCCCTGCCCTCCAAGCCAGGTCTGTGACTCCTGGGCCTCTCTTCCACCAAAGGCTCCCCTTGGCTCTGAGCTGCAGGAGGCTCATCCTGGGACAGGAGGCTGAGCCAAATGCTGACTTCAGGCGGTGCTTGTGGGGGGTGGGGACATTAGACTCCCCAGCTCTGTGGACATGCTCAGGCCCTAGTTGGGCGAGGTGCTGCCCTCCCCCATCTTCATTCTCCCCAAGTAGCCAGGTGGACCAATCTGTGGCCTGTGCCAGGATGGGGGAAGGGGTGGCTTCCTCAAGTCCTGATTGGAACCATGTGGCTGGACTTTAGGGGGGAAGGGAGTAGCCCCCTCTCTGATCCACCAGCCCCATCCCTTGCCCATTTGGGTCTGTAGTTCTTCAAAAGCTTCTCCTCGCCCAGGGGGCCTCCAGCACACACCTGCCCCATCACTCCTGTGCCTCCATCTCTCCCCCATCATATATTGTGGTGTCACCCTCCAGGGATGGGCTGCCTCTTGACTGATGACAGACCCCAAGCTCACTGATGAAGCCCATAACTGACCAGACACTGCCCTAGCAAGGCCTCGAGTCTCACCCCCTACACACTTTACACACACACACACACACACACACACACACACACACACACGTTTTCAGCATCTTTATGGGGTCAAGATTCGCAAGTTCATGTCCAGGGTCCCAGCAGTCAGCCGGCTTTGCCACCCACCCCATCTCCCATCTTGTCCTTCCTACCCTTCCCTAGTGCCCCATCACCCAGCAGGGCACCCCTTGCCACTGCCCAACAGAAACTGCTGGGCACTTTCCAGTGCTGAGGCAGGGCCACCAGCCCCCTGCCCTGATGGTACCCAGGTGACCTGCCTTCTCTTCCCTTTAGGCTCCAGCCCAGAACGCTCTCCGGTGCCCAGCCCACCCGGCTCCCCTAGGGCCCAGGAAAGCTGTGGCATTGCCCCCCTCACGCCATCACAGTCTCCAGTAAGCCTGGGCA